ATAAATGGTTCACGCATCCTGGAACCGTGGTCAGTTCTACCGTTGGCAATTTTTGGAGGTTTTATCGAAACCACTCGCCCCCTCTCCCTTCGGGGCTTTGATACGACCCTCCCTGTGAACCTGTGTGTAAGGAAACATTAACTCACGTACGACGTGGAGAAACTCGAGAGCGAGGGAGTACTAATTCTCGTTTTCCCCAGTGTCACTGCCTCGGTCAATGAAATTTCAATGAAAACTGCATCTCCCTCTTTTTAGGGCCATAAATTCGTTCAAACTCGAGTTTGTGTGACATGGTAGTAAGATTAGGAAAATTTTAATCAATCTCCCTCCAAAAATCGCTGAATGCTCCTTGAAAGATTACTTAATAAAAAATTAGCGTTGGTGCCCTTTCCATGCACATGCAGGTTTCCAAACTTCAAACGATAACAACTTGTTTCAAAATCACTAATTTGGAAAGCTGAAGCAGGGCTCAAGCTCTCTAAAAATGCTCAAAGTTATTAAAAAGTGATTGACTCGTTTTTAGATTTCAGTGGTCGTAACTCTTGATAACCGCTTTCTTAAAGAATCTTCAGTGTTTATAAAAGTGATAGTATGCGCTCCCGAAAACTCACTCAAGCGCTTGTGGAAATCCGTTCCTCCAGGAAAAGTTTGTAAAAAAATTTCTTTTTCCTCCGAAGAGTCCATCCTTCATACTACTTTTTCGTTTCATTCGCTCCAAAAACTTCGGAATCTCTCTGAAACAGTTCTTTCGTTACTGATAATTATTTAGAATTTTACACGCTTTGCACTAATAATCTTTGCCATGGGGTGCGCCACGTCTGCGCTGTGCTTCTTCTAACTCGCCGTTGCATTCCGAAGTCGATTTGATACCCTGCTAATCACCGGTTGCGATCCGATCCTACCACGTAGACTTAATACGACCCCTCCCCTCGTTGGTTCTTGTACCAACATACGGTTGACCATGCTCGGAGCTCGTTATCTCTCCTACGCTAGGCGAAATTCTTCATGCCAATTGCTTGCCTTGTGTGGTATGGACAAGATGTATTATAGGGCATCTTCCACTTCTCCCTATAAGCCGATGTGATTGACGCAACCGTACCCGCTGAGATTCTCGGCGGGTTTCGCTCTCGACTCTCCTTTCGACTAGCAGTCCAGAAATGTGGAATGTTCCGCTTAATTTAATTTGGTGTTTTGTGTAAAAAAACAAGCTCATACTATGCATCAATAAAGCTTCAAAATTCTCGCACCATGAGTCATGGTTGTGGTTTGTTTCAGGAAAGGGAGGCGCATCACTTCTGAAGACGAAATTCAAGACTATGGCACATACTATGTTGTCGGAGACGAAGATCTTCTGATGTACTATTGGTTTATTTCTTGTTGCTTCTTTGGATTATAATCAATCTGGACACACATTGATTTTGCGCAGGTTGAAAATCGGTCGAATATTCGCTGCTGACTCGTCGAGGATATTCGCTTGCTCAATCACGCTCTCCCACTTACTAACGCTATGCGCGAGCCCTCCGTGCCCTCCGCGCGTACATTCACCCTCAACACAATTCCCCACAGCGTAGAGCCATGTAAGGGGATTTCCTTGAACGTTATTATCCTGATTTTGGGGTGTTGGCCGCTTGGAAAAATTGAATTTTTCGTTTTTCGCAGCATCCACCGCAGGATCCGAACCAGCTCATGAGGGGACCTAGGCTCCCGCAGCAAAAAAGTTTGACGCTGCGAAAAGCGAACAATTCGTTTTTTGTCTAAGTGACCCACCCTGCTGGTTTCGAAGTGAGGTTTATTCACCTATGGCACGTGCGCTTCCGCCACGCCTACCGCAGCGCGACATATCGTTAGGAAGAAACGATTGTAAAGGTCGCATGAACACTGCGCGCGGCACATTGCGCATTGGGAGCTCCAGCTGACCTGTCGCCTGACCGTCGTTATAGGTATATGCACGCTCGTGTGCCTCATGTGAGTACGTGTTTGGAATCGGCTCCGATTTACGATATTATGTCTTTGATGTTCAAAGAGATGTATTGAGGAGTGACTAGATCACAACTTCCAAAGCATTAATGTAAAGTAGCGAGCATAGCAACCGATCTCCATGAAGTATGTGCAACTTAAACTCAGTTGTCGACTCGTGAAAAAGTGTCGCTAGGGCTACGATAGCCGCGCATCCAAGTCGCAGCGCAGCTTGTCGCGCAAAACATCTGTGCGATAATTCACTCACATACGTATCGTGAAATAGCTGGCAAATTGTACCAAAAAATTCTGATTTACAATGATTAGAAATTGTTTTTCACTTCAATGATTTCAATTTCAATTGCACATTCGCTAATTTAGACCATATTCGGATGATGACGACGAGGAAGAGATATATCGGGAGTCGCTGAGAGCTGGAAGGGCTACATCATTGTCGGCTCCAGAAATGATCACATCCAGGCAGTCCCTTTATGACACTAATGGTAGAGCTGACTTCCATTTTACGAAGTTTTGAATGCTTCTATCTATATTAGGATGGTAAGAAAGTCCTGAGCCGTTTGACACTTTTTTTTGCTTTACTTTCTTTATTCCGCGTACAATGGAATCTACTCAACAATATAATCACCATTGTTACTCACTACAGAGTCCCACCTAATGGGCAGGTCGGCGACCCCCTTCTCCCAGAACTGAGCAGACTGAGAGTCAAAGAAATCGCTGACCGCTCTTTCAACGTCTTCAACTTTGGTGAATTTTTTTCTTCGCTAGGAATGCCTTGAGGGGATAAAGTAAGTGATAATCAGAGAGGGCAATGTCAGGGGAATAGGGTGGGTGGGGAACCGCGTCCCAGACCAGCTCTTCCAATTTTGCACGGGTCTCTTTAGCTATGTGGGGCCTGGCGTCATCGTGGAGTAGGTGGGCAGAAGTTCGTCTCTGACATTTTCTCGAACACCGTCCGCTAGTGCGGACGAAGAAGGAGAAACTGACAAATGTGTATCCGCCTGAGCCGCGTAAGATCCATCGAGTCAGCACTTTCCTGTGGCGAGGGCGTGGAGGGGACCGAGGACTGTGGGATGGGTGCACCCGAGTCTTATCACAAGGCTGCGGGTGCTAACCTCCGGATCCTCTTCGACAGCGCCGAGAACGGTGGAGTCTTCCACTGTTTGGGGGCTTCCCAACCTTGACTTGTTTTCGGAAGCCGTGTCTCCTCCTCTCGAAGCCTGCGAACCAGAGCTTGGCACTGATGATGGAAGTGGTGTCCCTTCCCAATGCGATGCTGATAATGTTGACGGTTTCCACTGCTCCTGTGCCGCAGCGCCATTCATTGAAGATGATCGCTCGAAAGTGCTCTTGTGGAATCGACATCATGATTAAAGTTAAAGAAGGCAACCCGGCAATATATACCTACTGCGGAGAAGTATGATCGACAGCGATAGTCTATCACGTAGCAGATTCTAGGTATCGATCAATAAGCGAAAGTTCTGGAGCTTTCGAAAAATCGGCTCAGGACTTTCTTACCATCCCAAGTACCTCCATCTTTCCTTTTTTTGAATTAAACCGAGTCTGAGGTCCAGCCCTTGAGCTTTCCAGCTAAACGACACTGCAAAGCGCACTTTCCGACCACCACGCTGCGTAAAATTCTAGGCTTTTCCAAGCTTGTTGTGGTTAAGCGCTTCTTAGGAAGTGAAGAAAACATGAATGCATGATCTTTCGATTTATGCAGTTCTCAAGTCCACTAATTCCTTAGCAGAATGACCTTCACCAATGATTTATAAGTTTAATTCACAAGTTCATAAGTATAGTTTGGTAACTATATAACAACTGAGGAAACATTTCCATCCACTCTGAAAGTGTTGACTAGTGTTGCACGTGTGAATTGCAGTGAAATCGCCACCCACCCCACCACCAAAACCTTTTCAGTCTGAAAATGTGTCACCTGAACGGAATCCGCGCAAGGCCGCTACTACCCAGGTGAGGAGGTGACTTCAGATTTTGCCTATTACTCATCCTAGAGTTTACCCTTCTGCTTGTTATATGTACTTTTCTACTTTTTGTTTCGTTCATCTCTACCTTGCATGTTCTACACTGGGTGTACTGCGATTTCAGAAGAATGTAAACGGGAAATACAGTAGCAGCATGCCGGTGTTGAATGACATGGCTGAGTACGAGAAATACTATCGCGACGCGATGGTGTCAACGTCAAACGGATTACCGCTTAAGAAAAATAGTGAGGCCCTATCGAAGCTGTCTCATAATGCTTGCAGTGTGACATCACATCAGAAGATTCTAGTAGTTGCAACCGGTCGCTGTGGTTGAGGCTTGCGACAAATCATTGCACGAAGGGGGGGGGGATGGTGGGAGAGCAAGGTGGGGAAGCAGACAAAAGAAGTGAAAAAAACTGAGCATGCCCTGTGTTGCTTTTGTGTTGCTTCCTGTGGTTCATACGAGTTGCCTAAGCACTGTTGTAAAAGATGTTACTGAAGTTAGTTTCCTTCAGATGCACTTTTCTATTTTCAAATTCCAGAGAAACTATACACGACACGCTACAACGATAACCATTTTGACGACGGCTACTCCAAGAGAAGCCTAACAAGTAAATTTCAGATAATTTTTATTTCCACCTGATATGTTCCGATTATCTCATCCTCATTAAATCTAGTCTGATATTTTTACTTGCTTTACATTATTGTCATTTCCCTATCGTGTCACTCGATACTGCCGGTGTTCTTCCCCCTTATGTGATCGCGGTCTGCTATCTCTTTTCTTTTGCTTTTTAGTTCCTGTGGATGATAGTGCCAGCCCTAGAATTCCTCAATGGTCCGAAAATGAAAGTGCCTAAACCAGGTCCTGGATGCGCAGCTTCCTTTGTCATTAGTCAGCGGGAGAAAATCGTGTCCTGGTCAAACAAGCTCCCCATTTGTTATGTGTGATGATTTGATGACAGGATCACCGATTTGATCGTTAAGTTATTGAAGTGTAAGTCCTGCACCCACAAATGAAAAGCAAGTGCATGGCGCATCTCGGAAGCAAGCAATTGTTTACTTGATTATTTGCCTTTATTATTACTGTTGAAGTAAGCAGTAATAATAAGGAAAACTCGTTTCTGATCCGGAACGACATGATCACCCTATTCTCCATCGCTGTTCTCAGAACGGGGCAATGGTGGTGTATGTAGATGCCACAAACTGAAATTTCGCGTCAAATCAAACTTTTTCCTTAAGGGGGGGGTCTTTCAGGGCAAGCCACGCTTTTTCAAAACGGTTTTGTGCATATTGTAGGGACGCATGTAGGGAACACAAAACCATGTTTCATTTTCGCTGAACGGTTTAGCAGTACCAAAAAAGAAGCATAAGGTACTGTTAATGGTTCGATCCCCGTGGCGACTAAATTTTGCATTTGGGTTGGCGCCTACGGTTGGTGCCAAATCGCGCTAAATATCAAAATCAGATGTCATATTCATCGTCAGGACCATTTTGAAGCCAACAAGTGGCCGCCAACCTTGATTGCAAAATTTAGTCGCCGCGGGGATCGAACCATCAAGGGTATCATTCACCACTTTTTTGATACTACTAAAACCGTTCAGCGAAAACGAAACATGGTTTTGTGGTCCATACATGCGTCCCTACAATATGCAAGAAACCGTTTCCAAAAAGCGCGGCTTGCCCTGAAAGACCTCCCTTGTTAGTACATTGACGACAACTGCAGAAGCATATGTCCCGTGTATTGCAGCCCACGTTGGACCGCGCGTGATGTCGGACCGTGCGGGTTTCCCGCACCCATTACACTCATTTTTTCGCGCACGCCTGATTCTTTAGAAGTTTCTTGTATTTATTCCATGGAAGAGACCTTGACGTAGCTACAAACATAGTGGCCCATAGAATGGTCACGTATACTTTAATTTAGAGGAGGATTTCTGAACCATACGAAATCTTCATTTCAATAAATTTTTCGTTTACTTTTTCTTTTTATGAATGTGAAGATTTAAATAGTAGTAGAAGTAGACACGGGACTCGAGGGATAATAGTGTGTTTTGATAGAAATAATCAAGGCGGGGGCCATTGCAGCTAGTTCTGACAAACTTTTTCACTGTTGTTTCACGTCTTTAATCGAAATTCACTACTGTACCCCTGGGTAGGTTCCGCTCACAGAAATTTACTGATCCAGTTTTGTATCAATCATTACTTATGTATTTATCAATCAAAATCTGCCTTGACCTGAGCCTGCTGCGCTCAAAAAAATCACGCGACCAAAAAACCAAAACTCGCGTTGTCGTCAACGTGTTAACAATGCTATACATAGACTTCATGAAGGTTGCTAGTGATTGCTATAATGTTAAATATATTTTGAATGTGCAAAGAAGAAGGTGTACAAGGCGGCACCCATCATTGTCCCACGTAGAGCACGGAGCACGCACCAGTGGCTGCCATTGCCGCCAAAGGGGTTAATTAGGTGAGCAGACTGCGGTCAGGAGGGCTAGAGTGCCAATTGTTTCATCAGCCTGACTCTGCAACGTATTACACTAGGTCAAATGATCATTCAAAGTCTTCTAGTACTCGAATGGCTGGAGTAGGATAGCCGACGTTATCCCAAAAATATTGGATTATTTGGGCTCGTCCTGTCCCCGACCCTTCCCTGAAAGACCTGCGCAACTAATACTTTTCTGAGCTATTATATATAACTACTCGTGATCCATTTGAACTAATGACAGCTAAGGAGAAATAAACGAATAATTGATTGAAACAAGGAGAAATAAGTCAAAATATTAAATTAGATTGTAAAGAAAGTTCTGCAACACTCTTTCTAAAATTTTCTTTTCTTATGAAAAATTCATTGGTAACATTCATAACCAAAAAATGGTAGAGCATTCTCGGCAGTTTAGATCTACGAAGGTGGATATAAGTTGCTGCGCCACAGGTATTATCCAAGAAATTTCAAAAAACCTCGACCACTAGTAAATCCATACTCCGAGTCACTGTCTAGTACAAATGTCTCCATAACTATGGATTCGTGTCAAAGACCAACACTATCTGCAATAGCTTCAATAGGCATGTCGTTCACCGCTACAGCGTGTTTGCTTTCGATCTTTTGATATTTTTATAAGAGCCAGCAGCGTCCCGCACACTCCATTACAGATAGGGCTCTTACGGAAGCTCCACTACAAATTCTTCGTTATGGGCACCATTGTGTAGGTAGAGGTCTAGGCTGCGAAACTCCAGAAGCTGGCCGAGGCAGCTCGTCAAGAGCCCTCGTACCGCGACAATATTTATTTCTTTCATGACATTGCGAATCACCATGATCCGAAATGAGCCCGGTAAGAAATTCTGGAGTTGCGGCAAGATTTCTTAGCTTTCTTACAAGGAAGGTCTTTCAGGGTGTGCCAAGCTTTTTCAAAACGGTCTTTTGCATGATATAGGGCACATGCGGGAACCACAGAACCATGGTTAATTTTTCCTGAACGGCCCTCTGAATACCAGAAAAGGGGGTCCCTAGTCACACCTTTTTCACCAGTTTTTCAATCAAAGTCTATTTGTAAGGGTTACTGACGGTCCTAATCATGAATATGGTACTAATTATTCATGCTAACTCCATTTTGCGCGAATTTTGGAAACGTCAACTCGAAATGCAAAAATTTGTCACCACGAGGAATCGAACTAGGGACCCCCTTTTCTGGTATTCAGAGGGCCGTTCAGGAAAAATGAACCATGGTTCTGTGGTTCCCACATGTGCCCCAATATCATGCAAGAAACCATTTTGAAAAAGCTTGGCACACCCTGAACGACCTCCCTTGTTAGCGTATTCCACTAGTCGAGCTGTAAATGAGTGCCTCCTATCCTGGACCTTAAATCATCATCTTGATGACGAAATAATTAGACGATCAACTCCAACTCGAAAGTGAGGTCGCCTCCTTTCTCGACCCGCACTCCGCTGGGTTTTGGAAACATCAAGAAATTTTCTGAGCGTTGAAGACAAGTGGTGGACACTCATGGTAGATATATGACCGGTCAGGAGTTGTAAACAAAAAATAAAATTAAAATCAAAAATTTGAAAAAGTGTTGCAGGACTTTCTTTCCAACCTAATAAATAAAGGAATGTGAGGCATGATTGTTGTATAACAGAATGAACCAAGACAAGCGCACTGTAGCTAAATGCAGTGTTACTTCGTGATTATTTTATTTAGGATACTATGAAGACGACGATAATGGACGTCTTCGACCTCCACGTGTCATTGATGGCTACCAATCCAACGATGATCGGTATCGGCAACGTAACCGAAATGTCAATGCTTTAGCGAGTCGGTCTCGTAGCGCAAACGATGACTACCGTAACGACGAATTCATTTCGGACTTCGATACGGATGACACGAAACGAAAGGACAAGGAAGCGTTGGCTAAACATAGACAGTGAGTTCCGTATATTTTGATAAAATATTTCAGGAAGGCGTGGAACATACTGCCACATTAAGGCGCTAATACGCGTACGCGTTGTATAAGGGATTTAATGTGCCCTCTACATCCCGCGGTCAGGTAAATACAGTCTACGCTGCACACTTTTACAGAAGTGATGACGGCCGCACAAAATGTGATAGTTTTCTGCCAGTGAAATGAATAGTCGGTGGTAGTTGTGTTGAATCCAATTATAGCTATCATTTCTCAAATGCCACCTATCACTAAACTACTATGTCAGAATTGTTTGGAAGCCGTATTTCCTCGTGTTTTGAAGCCAATACTGCACACTCCTCTAGCCACCGATACAAAGGTAGTTCATGGAGAATTTGGTGCAACAGCTCGAGCCGCGTGCAGAAAACCCTATTTTTTAGTGCGAGTAAGCTCCGGTATAAGTGAACCTTATTGCATGCGCAAAAAGTACTTTACTTTCTCCAATCCTTTGAGATAGACGAAAACATTTGCCGTGATTCTGGATTCCTTTGAATTCTCTGCGCTAAAATGCCCCCAGCGTACATAAGTGCGAGAATATTCACGTGAATTGTCGAATATTTTTGTATTTACGTAACCGTGATGTTGGTAAAAGTGAGGAACACGGTCTCTGTGAAACTCTATATCATCCGTCCCCCATCACCACCACCATGACTGTTTCTGTAGGACTTGATCCGGGCATCACATGACGATGCACGCTTGACTTCTGCTCCCAAATTTCCTCTGAGACTATCGGCCAGCGGGAGATCTTCCCTTTCGCAACTACGAACGTCCTAAATATGACCAACCTCTCTGCTGGTAGCTTACCAACGGAGGTTGACCTGAAGGGCATACGTATATGAACGACTGCAATTTTCAGGAAGTTCTTAAATGTGCCGCGATCGACTAGTGCAGTGATCTACAATCGCCGAGATCAAACTCATCCGGATGCCTACATTATATAGTGAGCTTATGTTATTTTGGTTGAGCTGGATGGAATTTTTCGCAACCTCAGTCATGGCTCCTTTGAGTTGTTCCGGGCTTTATAGCTGAAGTAGAGTTTCAAGTCAAAGACGAATTTTACGATGAAAAAGCGGCCCCAAAAAAGAAAATCCTGAATTGGTGGCCTAAACTCTAGAAGTGGGATTTCTTCCTTGCCCCTTGATTTCGCATTGATGGTACCCTCTACAACGCCAACGCTACCTTCTGAACGGATAGAGACTCCGACACGAGATGACGCAAGAAGGAGACGACTGCGCCAATAGCAAACGGTGCAGGCTGTGCTAGATCGCCGGGGCGTATCCTTTGTTGCAAAAACTCCCTTAGAAGGTCCACCTGTCTCGCCCCGCTAAGTGGGTTGACTCTTCTTCGACCTTCGTCCTTGTCGTGGGATCCTCCTTTGAAGCAACAGTCCCAGCAGGGTTTTTACCTTCGACACTAATGGTGTGGAACGATGCGCTAGCCCTAGTCAAGAACATAAGAAGTGTGACTGAACAAAAAACTCACCTTGGAAAGCCGCGAAAGGGAGTTGAACGCCTTCGAAGTGGGCGTGTCGGCCACCGATCGTAAATGCCAGCCGTGGAGATCGCGTGATTGGCTGCGAAGGCATTTGCGACCGATTTGGGACCACAGGGACTATTTGAACTCGATCCACGATCCACGCAAATGCCTCAGCCAATCACGCGATCTCCACGGCTGGCAAGAGGGGCTTACGATCGGTGGCCGACACGCCCACTTCGAAGGCGTTCAACTCCCTTTCGCGGCTTTCCAAGGTGAGTTTTTTGTTCAGTCACACTTCTTATGTTCTTGACTAGGGCTAGCGCATCGTTCCACACCATTAGTGTCGAAGGTAAGAACCCTGGGACTGCTTGCTTCAAGATCATTTTCCCTGTTAAGGGCAACTGCATAAGTTTATCAACAAAAACAAAGAAAATAAAAACAAATAACTCATCAACAAAGTATTTTGAACAGTTCTCTAGCAACCTGGCTCAGGCTTCGCTGGTTCTACGAGTACATACAGTAGCATTCGCGTTTCTAAGGCAAGACTTAGTGCTAATGTTGTAAAAACGTCAAAACGACCTTCCTCACTTCCATAATGAGAACCCGTTCACACTTTCACAACTTTGTTATGACCATGCTCAACCTGACCCGTGATTCTACCCTCCCCCCTACAAAAATTGTGGATGCGACTTCCACGCTCGAACATCTCACATCACCGACTGCGATTTCAAATGGTGGTCAAATGAACCGCATAAGCCAAGAGTTTGTTTAACATCAAGTAGTTTGTCCTTTTTGTGGAGCTTCGAGTATGACCGCCACCAACGCTTTCCTGAAGTCATGGGTTTTCAGCGTTTTCTTAAATGGCCAAGGTATGGAATGCCAGCACATGCACTTTCAAAAGAAGCAATTAGCGAAAGGCATGAACTACGTGCTCGAGCTGACAGCCCGTCGCTTCAATGTGAATCCTATGAAGTGCGTCTTTTTAGTAGTTCCGCAGTGCAGACGTTTACAGAAAACGCTTGTGACACAATAATTTTATGAACTTAAGATTATGTGATATGGATGGCCGTAAAATTACGGAGCCGTCACAGTTGATGTCGAGAGGCGCTTATGTCCTTGTAGCTGCTGGACAGTCCTTTCGAGACACCTGGTACTTCCTGCCTGACAACGCCATAGATACCAGGTAGGATCGTTAAGCATAATCGATTCGTTTTGTATGCAAGGACATTATTTTTCCTCAGTGCCTGACCTGCCCTTCCACTCAGTATCTAACGGAATCTTCGCGGAAAAATCGTGATTCTATCCACCCATAATTCACTGGCTTGAGACTCATTATTCACGATAAGAACGAAAAGAACAAAAAATTGCATTTGTTTTGGTAAAAAAAATTCGAAAAACCGAAAGGGCTGCTACGCGTTCAAAGTACCGCCGGACATCTGTCACAAATGCTGGCGACGGGAATGCTTCCACTTGGTTCTTGGAGTGCCTCACTAGAAACTCTTTCTGGCCTTTTGACTTATTGCATTCACATCTCACACTTCTACTGCATCCTATATCGATCGATTTGTCTCTACTCTCCAAATCGCACGCTTTAACCCGATTCTTTCATTGCGTCGCCTGATACGTAGCCGCCCCAAGCGGACTTCTTTCCATGCCCGCCTTTGGCTCATTGTCCCAAGGCTGATTTTTGTATACTTTGTTTCTCTTCGGAAACTGAATCTGTGCGTGAAACTTTGTATGTTGTCTCTAGTGATCACAACTGACATATGCGTGTTGGGAAAGAATGCAAGGCTTTTCCGGCAAGGATTCCTTTACCTGCTATTAATGAATCGATGCATAAACCTGCTTTCTTCTTTCCCACATCGATCTAAAGATCGATGGTCTCATCAGTGAAAAGTCAGTGCCGAAAAGGAACGAACCTTTGTAACCACAGCCTGTGGATACTGCGCCAGCACCCGGCGGAGCCGGCGGGGCTCATGGAAAAAAAAATGGATGTGGTTGGATACAGCGACCGTCACGTACGGTAACGCATCGTAAGGAGAAATTCTGAGTTCCAAATGTAATAGAGGAGCATTGTTTGTATAGTTTTAGCGCGATAGACGAGAATCAGTACAAGGCTGAGATAAAGGATAAAGCATTTGCCCGGCACGCATTCTACTTCCATTTGTACATTCGTAGTGGCGTTTGAATGCGATGTGGCCTATACAATGACTTGCGGGGGCCAGCCGATGTACAAGTCAGTGTTTTTATCCTCCCAGACAAGTCTGGTACCAATTAACCCCGGAGGGATGGAAGGCTTGGTTGGCCCGGGCGACTCACGACCCAGGATTTGATCCCCGGACCGCTCGCGTGGTTCTCGCTCTTGATATAATTAGAATGTGGCTCTTAATCCACCACATAAGAAGGAAGCAATCATAGGTCTCCGTGCACAATAGCTCCAATCTTGGGAATCACCTTCGTGGGACCATGCTTAGCGTGGATATTCGGTGGGTAAGCGCGCAGGCTGTTGGCCATGAGTCGTAATTGCACTAACCTGCCGTACACCTAGTAGACGTTATTCCTCTGACTTAAACAGGCAATATGCTATTTGCCTTTTGTTCGTTATGAACACCGCTTGGGCCTGCTGTGGCTCAAATGAGCATACCGTGATATTACACTGGCACTTCCAAGCTATCACTTTCCACCCACTAGCGAACCATAATATACCATTTCCACTCCAAAGTGGACACTATTCAGATAACTCGGGACATTTTTCATTTCGAAACAATTTTCCTGAAACAAAAGTTGAAAATCCATGTAATGAAAGGCCAATTAGTTTTGTATAGAGCGTGTTATCAGGCCTTTTTATCCAGCAAATCTTCTCAAGGAGATCATCTTCCCGACTCTTTCACTACCTTTGCTATACGACTTCTTGTACTTTCCGCCATGTTTTCTGTCTCAAATCGCTACGCATATACTGGCAAACGAAAACGCCAAACGTGGCCAGGAGGTAGGCGTGCGAAGTCAATGGACACAGACCAGCTCTCTTGGTGAGAGAAGGCTGAAAAGAGCAGAAACTCGATTGACTGGAATAAGCGGTCCTTTAAAATATGATTTTCTTCTATCGCTTCCGCTCCGTCTGCGAAGACACGAAGGAGAGAAAGAAAGAAGCGAAAGTGTTTAGAAAGCAGGCTCCGAAGTAGAGGAACGATAGAATTCTGTCATATGGTAAATTTAACTGCTCTGGCAGCTGGACAACCCTTTCACAACTAAACGGTTGGTTTGTGTTCTTTGTTTTGAACTGTTGGAAAACTCGCATAAGTTCTACTCGAAAATATACTATTTTGTTGGCTGAGAGAAATATTCTGTTTCTCGAGAACTATTTTCTGATGATTGAGAAGGATTTACGTTCGCGAATGAAGGAGACCATGCTTTATCTGTGGGGTGTCCAGCTTTGATATGAAAAGGATCCATTTTGAATTGAACAATGTCCACGGTGATTTGAAAAAAATCCGAGTCGAATTGAAAATCGTCCTGAGCTATTTGAAAAATCTCCGGGTCGAATTGAAAAATTGTCCACGATTTTTTGAAAAACAACTTTGATTTGAACGATGTCCATTTTCAAGTCGTAATAGACTATATATAGCATAACGAGATGAGCTATATGCGATTCGGTCAAGACGATGAAACAAATGTTGTAAAATCCCACAAAATGCACGAACGTATGTATCTCCAAAAAGAACTATCAACAATAACAAAACAATTCAAATGTTCCGAAAGAGCAGACAAAAATTTGAGCAAAAAGTATCACACACTAAAAAGCGTACTACTATAATATTTCGGAGCCAAAAAAACTCGCTTATACCTTAGAGACAAAAAATTATCATGAAATATCCACCAAATCATATTCTACTTAAAATCGCAATCCACAATTCACCGTAGAGTTGCCTCAGGATGGAATTAAATCAACCAATTACGGTAGCCGCAGCAAATATAAAGCGGAAACTGCGATGACCATAAGCAAATTCACCTCGTCTCAATAGTACGGACAGCTGGACAACCGTAACAGCGCCAGTGATACTTAAATTTACGTAACGTTGAGAACAATGAGAGTATTAAAAAGTCAGAATTACGTAACAAAAAAGTAGTCATGGAAAAAATTAGGTAGAATAAGATGAAATCAACCAGAAGCAGTGGAAATGAGCTAGAAACAGCTCTGTTGACAACATCCCAGAAAAACTGCAAGGATTTGGCGAACTAATCTTCTTGCCCAGTGATTTCCGCATTGCATAATTCCTCCCAACTAACCAATGACTCTCGTTATATGCAGGTGCAATGCCTACGATCCGATATATATAGTCTAAAAGTCCGCACAACCTCAGAAGTGTCGCTGCCTTCTCCTAACTGATGTATTTCATCCTTTCTTTGACACTCCATGTAATCTCCCTTTATGTATATATCAGCGTAGCACTTAGTTGTTTTTGCTTTTTCGGGTTGTAGTTGTCTGTAACTCCTCTAGTAACTTTACCAGGTTCTCATGCTAGTCATGGTCTCTATAGTGGGAGTGCCTCACCTCTCTCGAGATATTATAGCAGCTTCTCCAAGCACAGTACCAAAAAACACGCCTATGAAAAATCCCCACGGCCATAGAAGTATTACACCGCTCCATAGAGAACCCGGTGGAAAGGAAACTATTGGAGGCATTAGAAATAAGAAAACTATCACCCGAAATAAATAGTAAGGACGAACTACGTGACGCTCTACAACTAAAAAATTAACTACGTGCTCAATGTCACATAATTTTTATTAGGTTGTCCCACAAGTAGTGTCGTTTTTTTTCAAACCAAAAAATTTTCATCTAAACCTCCATGCTTTTACATCGAATTATATACCATTCGAAAGAGAATTGTCTGCTCTACAAAATGCTATGTTCCACTTCCATCTTTCTTCCAGGGTTTTCAAATTTTAGGCCTGCGAAATGGGAGGTCCCGCCGACAAAAATTGACCAAACCGACAACTAGCTCTAACTTTATTTCCCTTGGGAGAAATCAATCAATGATGTACCCTCTACTTACATGACCTCTTCTGAACATTCCACTCTTAGGTTGCCGAAAAAGCTTTGCCGTGTTTCTTTTCGAATTGGCTGACCGATAAGCCATAGCAATTTTCAAATTGAAATTTTCCTCTGAAACGCTATTGTTTTGTATCAAGTGGTGTATCTTTCGTGAGCACCTCTTCTGCTTCAGTCGGACATTTGCTTTTGTTTTTATAATCGTCGTCATTTTAAGTAGTATCGTTTTTTCATTAAAACGTCCACCCGTTATTTACCAAAAACGTTTCTTGAGGAATTGGCCCAATTTAGCAGCATACATTATCGGATTCGTTGTCCAGGAAAACTACGAAACACATGTTTTCAGACAGGCAAGTCTATGGCGAAATTTTTTAGAAGCATTTTTTCGTTTTTTGACCGTTTCATAGTATACGTCCACTTTGAATTTCTGTTTATTTATGCAAAGTCAGAAAGTGCTCAATGAAAATAAGTTGTCAATTGGTGCTCTCTGTTCGAATGGCAGCTCTATGAGTCAATGTGACATACTCACTGTTAAGTTCCTGAGGATTAAAGGAGCCGATGCCTCAGCACGCGTTCATGATCGTTTTCCATGAAGTTCAGATCAGGACTGCGTGCAGGCCGCTCCATAACGACCACTTTCTGTCGTTAGAACCACGCAGACGTTGACCTGTAAGCATGGACACTTGCACTGTCCTGCTAGAAAACTAGCTTTTATCGCCGCCTGCAGTTCAGGAACAGCGATAAGTTTGATCCCAAAGCTCTTGTCAGTCCATTCGGTAAAAAAACAAATGCGAGCTCCAGCTTCCTGTCCCACAGAAGACCCCCCAAACTATCAGCGAACCGCCACCAAACTTGCGCCTGCTGATCTGCACTGGGTCTTTCCCCAGATCACCCCAGTAACATCTGGCATCATTGTGTCCGCCCAGGTTATGGGCGCTGGAGCTGTGGAAGTTCAAACTTAACATGCAAAAGTTTTGTCATTACGGAGGAATTGAACCTTGGACCATTTCCTCACCACTTTTTGGCCTTCGAGGGCCGCTCAGCGAAAATGACCTCGGTTTGTAGTCCACGCATGAGCTCCTACAACATGCAAGGAACCGTTTTGAAAAAGCGCTTGACACCCTGAACGATCTTCCT